TCTGCTTTCCTCCGGACCAGAAGCGCGACTAAGTAGTTATGTATCTGAAGCCACATTCGTTAAGCCCCAGCACAGCTCAACCGCCGGACGAGCTTCGTCCCTTGCACCCAACCCGCGGGACGGCACGAAACGCAGTTCCGTTAGCCGCCTGATGCGTCTTCTCATACAATTCTCTTATAGACTTTGACACGGGTTCGAATCCTCGTCGCCACAGGCCTGACCTCCCCTTTCGATCAGGGACGGCACACGGTCTGCGTTGCATTGCAGGAACCCCCTTCTACAACAAGGTCGACGAATCAACGATCATTGATTGCATCATCTACGTCGACACTCAAGCGTCTCCAGCGGCAACGTCGAGCTCTTCGCGCGGTTTTATCCCCAGGTCGGTCCACGCTGAGTAATCGCTGGCCTGTGAGAGGCTGACGAGTCTCCAACGTCGAGCGTCCTACCCTGTTAGATGATGCGCATGTGTTCACCCCAGCACATCGAGCTTGCAGCTAAGCCCTGAATCTGTCAATCACCTCAAACATAATTGGCTGCCACGACGAGTCGCTCGACCTGACCTCATTGCACAAAGCTGGTACCTGGTCCAATCTCTACAGATCTGGCGCCACTTTCGCTGTGTTAGCTTTCCTAAGCTCTCCCCCGCTATCACGGCACCGCGATCTACTCTGCTTGACACTTTGCAGCAATGCGAAAGCGTGATTCGCGTTACATACAATCCTTGGCTCTCACCTACCAGGTCGGTTTCGCTCGACACATCACATGAAGCCCACGGCATTATAACCTTCCCGGCTACACCAGTGCCGCTCGGATTTTAGTGATCGCCATATCTTTCCCGGGACAGTCTTCAAGCAGTCCAACATGTCGAACCAAGAGACCGGTTCGATGGCGTCTCAGTCCAGCTCCGCACTATCCGTATCAAATCATCCACCCGAAAGACTGCCCGGACCATATCTTCTCCACGAGCTCGTTGCGCAACAATCAAAACATGGTCTTCCTTCTATTTCCTCTCTTTGTCCTCTCGGCCATTTGTCTGAAGTATCCTACTCAGAACTGCACCAAGCTGCAGACCGACTAGCTACTAAGGTAGTTGCCTCGCGCGGCTTGTCTCCTGAGAGCGAGTTTATCGTCCCCGTCCTGATCCCACAGAGCACACAACTGTACATCGCCCTGTTAGCCATCTTGAAAGCTGGTGGCGCCTTTTGTCCCCTGAACCTCGATGCACCACCCGAGAGAATCAAGTTCATATTGCAGGATGTTGGTGCCAGGGTTGTGCTGACGACACCGGACCTGGCCCCCAAAGTCGCTGGGGATGAGCTCGGTGTCTCTCTGATCACTTTGACGGACACCAACACTGTCTTTGACTTGGTCACGGATTTCTCAGTCGCTGAGGAAGAAACGCCTACAATCAAGCCCCTAGAGCCCCAGTGTTTGGCATATGTCATGTACACATCAGGCTCTACAGGAACTCCCAAGGGAGTAGGCATTACTCACGATGCCGCAACGCAAAGTCTGCTTGCTCACGACCGCCATATTCCAGAGTTTGAGAGGTTCTTGCAATTTGCCTCGCCAACTTTCGACGTGTCTGTCTTCGAAATATTTTTTCCCTTGTTTCGAGGCTGTACGTTGGTCACCTGTGACAGGTCTAAGATGCTGGATGACCTCCCGGGTGTCATGACAGCAATGCGTGTTGACGCATGCGAGCTGACGCCCACCGTCGCTGGAAGCCTCCTTCGAACCAGAGCAAGCGTACCCTCGCTGAAGCTGCTGCTCACGATCGGAGAAATGTTGACGCCTCGGGTTGTGAAAGAGTTCGGAGGAAACTCAACTTCACCAAGTATACTTTGGGGAATGTATGGACCGACAGAAGCAGCTATTCACTGGTCAGCAGCCCGTCGTATCACTTTTGGTTCTTTGACTGATGCTTCGCTAGTACATTACAAACTGCCTTCTCGGCAGATTCGTCGCCCCGCGTAATAGGAGTTCCGTTCGACACGGTTTCATGTTTCGTCATTGAGATACCGCCTGACGACTCTAGCTTTTTTTTCACCGTATCACCCATCGGCCAAATTGGCGAGCTGGTGGTGGGTGGCCATCAGCTTGCAAGGAACTATCTGAACCGGCCCGAACAAACCGATGCGGCCTTCATAGACTCTCCCTACGGCCGTCTATATCGCACAGGAGACAAAGCTCGCATGCAATCAGATGGCACACTCGAGTGTTTTGGCCGGATTTCTGACGATCAAGTCAAGCTCCGTGGCCAGCGAATCGAGCTTGGTGAGGTTGAGCAGGCAGCCATACGAGACTCACAATGCCGTGACGCTATTGCCATGGTTGTCGACAACATCCTGGTTATCTGTTGTGTTCTCGAAGCCAAAGACTCATCTAAGGAATTGGCCTCTGAATCGATTCTGCAGACTTGCAGGCAATGGCTCCCGACGTTTATGATCCCTGGAGATGTGGTCATCATCAACGAGTTTCCGCGGCTGGCTTCGGGCAAGATTGATCGCCATCAGATGAGGCGCCAGTACCAAGTCAACAAGAACACCAACACAACTGTGACGCAGAACGACCTGGGTCCTCTGGAAAAAAAGATCATGTCAGCGATTTCCGATTTTGTCGGGTCTCCCGTGACTCTTCTGGATGTTCTGTCAGCACATGGCATTGATTCCCTCCAGGCAATTCAACTAGCGTCGGCGCTGCGGAAGGAAGGTCTCCAAGCATCTCCACTTGATGTGGTCAGCTCTAGGACAATCTCCGCTTTGTGTACTAAAGTCCGAGCTGTGGACAATAAGACTCAAAGACAGCATCATATCAAGCAGCCGCCGGCTGCTGACCAGATTTTGGCATCGAACGTCACCCTGCAAAGTATGGAGTCCCAGATCGAAGGATTTGACTGGTGTACCCAGCTCCAGAGTTCTATGCTGTTTGAGACATCCGCCAACATCAGTGCGTACCACAATCTGCTCGAATTGGAATTCCCTGCTTCATGCTCTCTCGAGCAAGTAAGGAATTGCCTGGAACAGATGGTGCAGCAAAACGACATTCTCCGATCGGGTTTTGTTGAGACTGAGGGTAGCTTTGTGCGTGTGATATTCAAATCACTCCCAAAGTCCCATATCCAGAGCGTAGATCAGTTTACGTTGTCCGCGCAACAGACTGCGGATGACTATGAGAGAATCTGGCTTCGCCCTTTCCAGGCGCAGGTCGCAACCTCCACGGCCGGAGCTCCCCCACGCCTTCTCCTGCGTATGCATCACGCCATTTACGACGGCTGGACTGTCGACCTCATGATTCAAGACTTGTCGTCCATCCTCGCCGGTCAAGAAGCAGGACTTCGGCCTCAATTCGGACAAGTAACAGCATTCAACAACTCGACTCCGTTGATAGACCTGGATATTTCTAGAGCATTTTGGGCAGAGCAGCTGTTTGACTGGCAAAAGCCAAGTTTCCCACGCCTCATGAGCCGACCACCTGATTCCCCAGAGCCTCAATCAATGTCGCGTACGCTGACGCTGTCGGAAGGGGACCTGAGAGAAGCGGCCAAGAAGCTCGGCTTTCATAGCCAGGTATTTTTCCAAGCTGCTATATCGTTGATCTGGGGCGCAATCCTGGGAACCTCGGACGTCGTCATTGGTTGCGTCTCATCAGGCAGGACTCTCCCCGTCGAAGGCATTGAGGATATCATGGGGCCCTGCATAGCTTCCTTGCCTTTACGAACTGACCTCAAGGCTCTAAGAACTGTTGAGGATCTGCTAAGGAACACGCAAAGGACGAATCGAAGATCTCTGCGGCACGGCATTTTGCCCTTGTCAGAAATTTGCAGGGCTGCCAGTATACAACCTGGTGACGCCTTGTATGATGTACTCTTCGTCTATCAACAATCGCTCACTAGTCACCTACGACACGCATCTCCAATTCGAGAAATATCTCACCGCGACTTCCTAGAGACAAAAGTCTTGATCGAGATCGAACCTGTCCTGGGCAGTTTCAAGTGCCATATCACATACCATGCTGACGCCATGTCCCATGATTTCGCAACTCTCTTCCTCGACCAGATCGACTGTATGACTCGGACTCTCCACGTTAATCCAACCGCGCTGTTGCATGATGTCTCGCAGTGCGTGCCGCCTGCGCTGGCATCTATCTACAACTTGGAACCAGTGACATTGGCAGATAGCCCTGACCTGGCGACATGCTTTGAACGTTCGGCATCGGCGGCGCCTGATGCAGAAGCGATTTGCTTTGCCAAATCCATCACCCCATCAAGCCTTGATTGCGAAACCATGTCTTATCAGGAGCTCAATGACCTATCGAATCGTATTGCATGGTTCTTGCGTAGCCAGGGGGTACTCGAAGGCGACACAGTCGCCATCGTGATGGAAAAGTCGGCCTTGCTTTATGCCACGATACTGGGGACTCTAAAGGCTGGGGCTGCCTACTTGCCTCTTCTGCCTTCCACACCGGCCAGCAGACTGCAATTAATTCTTTCTCAGGCCTCTACCACTGCCTGTTTGGTCGATCAGCAGGCTATTGTTTCAGTGGCAGCCGTCGTGGACTGCCCGCTCTACGACATGCAGTCGACGCCACTGTCAGAATTTCCCACACATAACCCGCCTCGACAAGCTCAGTCCTCTCGTCCGGCATACATCATTTACACCTCTGGGACGACCGGTGTTCCTAAAGGTATTGTGGTGACCCAGCTTAATATCACAAGCAATCTTGATGTTCTATCCCGTATATACCCCCACGACATGACAAGTCGCTTTCTGCAGCTCTGTTCCCCAGCGTTCGATGTCTCGGTGTTTGAGATATTTTTCACATGGAAAACAGGCGCCTGCTTGTGCGCGGGTTCCAACGACACTCTCTTCGCAGATCTGGAGCAATCCATACGCTCACTTGGCTGCACACATCTCAGCTTGACACCCACTGTGGCGTCGCTCATTAGCCCATCCCACGTTCCGAAGGTTCGTTTTCTGGTCACCGCCGGCGAACCAATGACTTCAGCTGTTTCGGAGTCATGGGGCGAGCACCTCTACCAAGGTAAAACATGAAGCGCCAGCCTGTCACAACTCAACTAACAAGTAACAGGCTACGGTCCAGCCGAGACAACGAATATTTGCACAGTCAAGAAAATGACAAAAGGCGACTACATTAACCACCTCGGGTTTGCGTTTGAAAACGTCTCTGCTTTTGTCTTATCAACAGATTCGATGTCAAGCGTTCCCCGTGGGTGCTTCGGCGAGTTCTGTTTTGGCGGCGATCAAGTTGCACAGGGTTACATTGATCTCCCTGAGGTCACAAGTTCGAAGTTCGTCAACCACCCCGAGTTCGGCCGCATCTATCGCTCTGGAGACATGGGTCGGATGCTACCTGACGGGTCCTTGCTCGTGACGGGGCGTCTGGACGGCCAGGTGAAATTAAGGGGCCAACGCATCGAGACCGGAGAAATCGACAGTATTGTGACAGCAGCCAAAGAAGTTCTCTCGTGTACGTCACTGATCCTACAGCCTACTGGATCGAGCAGCGAACAGCTCGTTTCTTTCTACACGCCAGCAGCCCACACGCATATAGGGAACGTGTTACTTGATTTCCGAGGTGAGCTCGCAGCCCTTAACCAGCAGCTCTTCATGCAACTATCGTCGCGACTCTCACGATACATGGTGCCGTCGTACCTGATCCCTCTGGGCACCATACCTCAGACTCCCAGCGGCAAGGTTGACAGGGTGGTGTTGCGCAGCCTCTTCAACGGACTCACCCGAAATCAACTCAGTCTCGTCTCCAGCAACCAAGGGCCTGAGACCGATGAAGATGAGTGGTCTGACAGCGAAAGACTAGTAGCTGAGGTGATTGCACAAAGTCTGATCGTACCACATGAACTGGTCTCCCGCTGGCAACCGTTAGCAACGATCGGTCTCGACTCCATCTCGGCCATTTCTGTGGCAAGGTTACTTGGGGACGCGGTCAATCGACGCATCCCAATCTCACACATCCTACAGAGCCCCTATGTTGCCCTCTTAGCTCGGCTTGCGACAGAGAACGCGCCAGATGGACGTCTCGTTGAGGAGGTGGTGACTGACTCGCCATTTTTTCCCCCAGACGTCAGGGAGCTCATTGCCACGCAATTCGCTGAACACAAACACGCTATCCAGGAGGTTCTACCTTGTACACCATTGCAGGAAGCAATGCTGTCAGCTGCTGGTGCTTCCTCGTACTCCAATCAGCTAGTCCTACGACTGGTTGCCTCCTCGCCGGAGATGAAAAGCCACTGGCAAACCTTGGTTGATCGCCATGGTATTCTGAGGACATGCTTCGTCACGACTACGGATGCCCAGCACGCTATTGCCCAGGTAGTCCTGCAAAGATGGGAGGTCCCGCTGAGGACTTTGAGGCACTCGAGCCTCGAAGACGCTGTAAAAAACTGTAGAAGACGAGTTCCTTTCGCTCTCGACTCACAACAACCGCCCTATGGCTTAGATCTTCTCGACATCGACAACACCTTTTTCTTGGTCTTCACTTGCCATCATGCACTCTATGACGGAGAGTCCATGAACGTTCTTCTTCAGGAGATAGAGCAGCTTGTTCGAGGAGAGGGCTTGCCACCGCCCATACCATACACGCCCGTGATACGACAGATGCTGTCACAACAGCTAAGCAGCGAAGGCTTTTGGAAAGAATTGTTTAACGGCTTCGTCGGAGGTAGGCAAGAAGCTTTCATCAGCCGCCAGCAAGCATTGCCTCTAGGTTCCACGTCAACGCCACCCCAACCTCAAACGTACACTTCGCAGCTCAGGCTAGGCTTGACCGCCTGGCAAAAGGTTGCCCGGGACACCAACACATCAATATTAGCTCTTGGACAGGCTACCTGGGCCATCTTGCTTGGTATCGTGTCTGATCAGGATGACGTGTGCTTTGGAAACGTCATGAGTGGCCGCACTCTGCCTGTGAGCGGTATTGAACGACTGGTTGCGCCATGCTTTAACACGGTGCCCATTCGCATCGGAACCAACCGGCGCATGCAGGTGACAGAGTTGCTAACAAAACTGCATGTGCTCAACTCAAAACTCCTCGATCACCAGTTCACCTCTTTACGGTCTATTCAAAAACTTGTGTCTCGGCCTGGTCGGAGCCTCTTCGACACTATTCTTCTGTTGCAACCCCCCAAGAAAGAGCTCGACAGCGCGATCTGGGAGGTTGCTGAGGATACCGGAGGCATGGATGTGAGGATTGTCTATGGGGTTGTTGTGATCTGGACTAACAAAAGTCACAGGTTCCGCTGCTTTGTGAGTTGATTCCAAATGCACACACCGATAGCGTAGAGTTGAATCTCCACACGAACAGGTGAGTTACTTATCTCCTTGACTGTCGTTGGCTGTACTGACCAGCCAAGTGCCACGTTGGATCCTTGCATAGCATCATCAATGTCACAAGCTTTCTCGTACATCCTCTGCCACATTGCACGACATCATGCTACTGTTATTCCCACCAAAGACGACCTGCCAGAAGATATTCGCAGCAGCATAGCAGACGCGTCCCACGAGTCGCCCCAGAACAACCTCGACCAACAAGAAGGTAGCGTCTCTGGTACAAGCCACTCGGCAACTGTGCATGAAGAGCCTTGGAGCGAGCTGGAGAAAACCGTCCGCGACATCCTTTCGAAACTCTCAGGCGTGGCAGTGAGCCAAATCGGCCTCCAGACAACCATATTCCAGCTTGGTCTGGACAGTATCAACGCTGTTCAGATCGCCGCCCTCCTGAGAAATCAGAATCACAATGTCTCGACTTTTGACGTTGTCGACTGTCCTTCTTGCGCAAGCCTTGCTCAGCGAATCGCTCGTCGAGTCGGGGATCAAAGCCAAGTACGTCCGATGTATGACGTGAATGCATTCCAACAAACAATCGCGTCGACCGTTGCGGTCCAGCTTCACACGGAACCGGAGGCAGTTTTCCCATGCACTCCGGTGCAATGTGGCATGCTGAAGGACTTTATCGAATCTGGCGGGGTCGATTATCTCAATTACCTGGCCTTAGAACTCGACCAACATCTCGGCCCTGAAGAGGTGGAGAACGCCTGGAGAAAGCTTGTTCAAGCTCACACGATTTTGCGCACTGGGTTCGTGCCCGCAAACCATGCCGATGCTCCCTTTGCTATGGTGCAGCATTCCTTTGCAGCACATCTTGTGGCCAAGAGCGTGACATTTTCGAACACGACTTTCGATGCGCAGGTTTGGAAGGCCCAAAGCTCTCAACAAGTGCTCAATGCCTTGGAACAACCGCCGTGGCGGGTAGCTCTGGCAACGCAAGGCGGCACAACGATACTGCATCTACTAATACACCATGCGCTGTATGATGCCTATTCGCTTCACAGGCTGTTGGGAGATCTTGGTTCCATCTTGAATGGTTCTTCACCTCCAACCCCGACTGGCTCTACCCGAGACGTGGTTTCTGCAATCCTTGGATCTGCCCTGGCAAACGAGTCGTCGAAAGCCTTCTGGCAAGCAAAGTCATCTCAAACCATCATCAATAGGTTCCCAACAATGACTCCTCTGATTGAACCATCCTCGGCCACATACACGGAGACGTGCCGTTCGCGACTGGATTTTGCCACACTTCAAAGCCGAGCCAGCAGGGCCGGCGTAACGATTCAGGCCATGCTCCAGGCTGCGTGGACTCGACTGCTCTCTGCCTATGTTGGCGAGCAAACGCTTGTATTTGGAGTTGTGCTTTCGGGCCGCACTTTGCCAATGACAGATGATGCAGTGTTCCCATGCATCACGACAGTACCCGTCATCTCTCACAACCGAGCGTCCAACACAGAGCTCCTGTCTCAAATGATGCAATACAGCAGCCAATTATCGGCCCACCAGCATGCACCTCTTTCTCAAATACAGCAATGGCTCGGTCACCCAGGCACCCCCCTATTTGACACTCTGCTCGTGTATCAGAAGACTACGAACGGCCCGTCACCGGCCCAGAAGCTGCCGTGGCGTCAGCTCAGTGACGAGGGTAAGCTTGACTACGCTGTCTCCTTGGAGATCGAGCCGTCAAAGGACGGGCATATCAGTCTTCATCTATCGTCTCATACAGGTGTACTTCCGCGGGAACAGGCGTCAATTTCCCTACGTCAATTCGATGCCATTCTAGCTGATCTTGCTACCAACCCACAAGGCCAAGAAGCTCAAATATGGCATGATGATGCTGAATTGACATCTATTCTGCCGCCGCGCGACATTGAGATATACTCTGAGGTCGCATTTCTTCACCATTTTGTCGAAGAGACGGCGAAAACATACCCTGACAGGACTGCTCTCGAATTCGTTACTGCCTTTACTGGGGAAAGCCCGGAGAGTCACAGCGTCACCTTTAAAGAGCTGGATGAGATGGGCAATCGCGTCGCCAACACATTGGCTCAACATGTTGCCAGGCGCGGTATCGTTGCGGTGCACTTCGACAAGTGCCCAGAAGCCTTTTTCGCCATCTTGGGCATCTTGAAAGCAGGCTGTTCATTCCTAGCTCTTGACCCCTCGGCTCCGAAGGCGAGGAAGGAATTCATCCTCAGAGACTCAGGAGCCGTAGCACTCTTGGCCCGCGATGCTCTGGACTTTCAGCCGGCGCAAATTGTCGTCGAGATCAAAGAGAGCAAGCTCTACGCTGCCAGCGCTGAACCCTGTCAATTGGGCCACGATTTGTCAAAGGATGACACTTGCTACTGCCTCTACACTTCAGGAACAACGGGTACACCGAAAGGTTGTGAGATAACGCATGAGAATGCAGTCCAAGCAATGAAGGCGTTCCAGCGTCTATTTTCTGGTCATTGGGACGAAGAATCGAGGTGGCTGCAGTTCGCTTCGTTCCATTTCGATGTGTCTGTTCTGGAGCAATATTGGAGTTGGTCAGTCGCAATGCCCTTGGTCGTTGTTCCTCGAGATATCATTCTCGACGACATTGCGGCGACGATACGACGCCTTCGCATCACACATCTGGATCTCACGCCTAGCCTTGCTCGGCTTCTCGACCCGAAGGATGTCCCGACACTCTGCAGGGGCGTCTTCATCACGGGCGGCGAGGCCCTGAAACAGGAGATTCTCGACACCTGGGGTCCTCGGGGAGTCATCTACAACGCGTATGGCCCCACAGAGGCCACGATTGGCGTAACCATGTATCAGCGCGTGCCACAGAATGGTCGCGCATCCAACATTGGGCGCCAGTTCGACAATGTTGGCACCTACGTCTTTGAGCCTGGAACTGAAAAGCCGGTCTTGAGAGGTGCCGTTGGTGAACTTTGCATTTCCGGGAAGTTGGTCGGCAAGGGCTACCTTAACCGCCCCGAGCTCACTGCCGAACGCTTCCCAGTCCTTGAGCATTTCAAGGAGAAGATCTACCGCACAGGAGATCTAGTTCGGGTCATGTATGACGGGTGCTTCGAGTTCCTTGGTCGTGCTGATGACCAGGTCAAGCTACGCGGACAGCGTCTGGAGATTGGAGAGATCAACCACGCTATCCGCACAGGTGTTGCCGCCGTCAAGGACGTCGTCACTCTTGTAGCCAAGCATCCAAAAGTGGACAAAGATCTTCTGGTGACCTTCGTCACGTCAAGCGAAGCAGCAACATCAAACGGTGAACTTCATGTGCTTGGCGGAGCGGAAACCTTCAAGCTCAGACAGACAGTTCTGAAGGCATGCCGTCACAGACTCCCTGGCTACATGGTGCCGTCCTACGTCCTCGAGGTTCCTTTCATTCCTCTTTCCATCAATAACAAGGCGGAAATGAAGATCCTGCGTCACCTATTCTCTTCGTTGACACCGGAACTACTGCTGCACGTCTCTGCCCCTGCTCCCTCACAGGAAGCCCTAGCTACTACAAAGACTCAAAAGACGGTGCTGAGAGCTGTGTCAAAGTTCTCTGGCGTTTCTGCTAGCGAGCTTTCTTTGAACAGTAACCTGTTTGACCTCGGTATCGATTCGATCTCGTGCCTTCGACTCTCACGACTTTTGAAACACGACGGTCTGCGCACTGCAGACCCGGCGTTAATACTCAAGAACCCCTTCCTCGGCGACCTCGCCGAAGCCCTCAATAAGCCTTATGACCGCGAGTTTCTGAGCGCCGTTAGGGAAGCTCGACAGCAAATTCATGCGTTTAGCCACCGCTTCAGACACGAAGTTCGGCAGAAACTGTCACTTTCAGCAGGGGTTTCTGTTGACTACATTGCCCCGTGCACTCCTCTGCAGGAAGGCATGCTGTCTCGGACATTTACACAGGGAGAAGAGTCCTACTTTGTTTCATTCCAACTCAAACTGAGTGACAACCTCATGACAAGCAGGTTGCAAGAGTCATGGGATAAGCTCGTTGCCCTACATCCGATTCTGCGGACCCGATTTGTGCCAACCTCAGGAGGGTTCGCTCAGGTGGCTCTTTCTCCCACGCAGATTCCGTGGAAAAGTCACTCAGTCGACCAAAATGGAGTTAAGCTGCTCCTCCAGGAGGCGCGCTCGTCCTGGATCAAGAATAACCAAGACAGCATCTTGGAGCCGATGGAATGCCTCCTAGTCAATTCCGAAGGAGATAGACTGCTGGTAGTGCATATTTTCCATGCTCTTTACGACGGAATCAGTTTCGAGTCCATGTTGCGATGGCTAGCTGCTGATATATCGCTGAAGTCTCATGCTCAGCGACCGGCTTTCTTGGATACCCTGTCATATGGGCCTCTGCAGAACTTCGACCACAGCCGGTCCTTCTGGTTAGAGCATCTCAGCTCATGCACTTTTGAACCTCTGCCACGGATAATTACCGATGAAGCACCAGGTCTTCGCTCCGCCCGTCGGCTTTACAACGTTGAGAGACTCAGGGAGACAAGCCAAGCACTGAACATCACCCTACAGTCCGCGGTCTTGTCCTTATGGTCTGGCACCTTTGGCAAATACTTCTCCTCAAAAGCTGCAATGGGAGTCATCGTTTCAGGGCGCGCTCTTGACACAGAAGACGTTGAGGATGTGATGGGGCCCCTTTTCAATACCTTGCCTTTCTACCCAGACGTCGCCACGAACAATACGCTACAGAAGCTGGCGCAGAGGTGCCATGACTTCAACGTTTCAACCTTGCCCTTTCAGCACACGGCGTTGCGAAACATCCAGAAATGGTGCAGCGGAGGTCATCCTATTTTCGACAATCTTTTCGTCTACCAGAACGACGTGCCTTTGGCCAACAACGCGGAGACATTCTGGACGGTAGAAGACAGCTTCGTGGCCAACGACTACCCGCTCGCCTTTGAGGCGACTGCCATGGGAGATGCTGACCTTCAGGTCCAAATTGTTGTCCGCCAAGATGTGGCAACTGAGGCTGACATCCAACGAATCTTGGAAGACTTTGAAGAGGCGATGTTTGCTTTGTCTACCGGAAGAGCGGGCACGTTGCGCAACCAAGCATTTGCACTGACCTCTCAAGAAAGCTCAGCGGGCGCTTCACCATTGACTACTCGAAGCGCTAGCACCGATTCCGCAGGACATTCAACAGATGTCAGCGCTCCAGAGTTCACCGTATCAAACTTTGGGTGGACAGAGGCAACACTCGCGATTAGGTTCGAGATATCGAAATTGGCCCAAATCCCGGTCGAAAGCGTCTCCGAGTGCAACTCATTGCTTGAATTGGGCTTGGACAGCATTGATATAGTCAGCCTGTCAACCAGGCTCAAGCAAAAAGGCATCGACATCTCCATGTCTCAACTGTTACGAGCCCAAAACATCGAGAACATGGAGAAAGTCATAGGACGTGAGGTGCTGAGCGACAGAGGAGAAAAGTCAGACTCAACATTCAATGCCCTCTTGCTGCAGCTTCGCGAAGCAGTCGTAGCAACTGGGTACGACATGGGAACGGTCGAAAACGTTCTGCCGCCAACGCCCCTTCAAGAATCCATGGTAGCCGACATGATAGACTCAAACTTTGAGCGATACTTCAACCACGACGTGATGGAGATTTCCAAGGATACTATCGTGGAGTCACTAGTAGACGCTTGGCTCGAGGTTATCTCACAGTCACCAATACTGCGAACGGTCTTCTTACAAGTCGACGACCCACGGCTCGAACAGACATTTTGCCAGATTGTTCTGGCTCACCACTTGCCCTCGATCCAACACATCCAGGTCCAAGGCGAACAAGAAATCGAGGGAATCTATGCAGCGCATAGCCAAAATGCAAGGAACGCAAGGGGTGCTTCACAATTGCTCCAGTTGACGATCGCGCACGTCGGTGATCGGAGTTATGTCGTTTTCAGCATTGCCCACGCTCTTTACGATGGATGGTCATTGGCTCTTCTTCATCACGACGTCGATTCGGCTTACCACAATATGCTGGAGCAACGCGCGTCTCCACGAAATATGTTGCAGAGCTTGCTGCAGTCACCGACTGTCAAAAGCCAACGATTCTGGTCCCAATATCTAGCTGGTGCTCCCCCTTCACTTTTTCCAGAGAGTACGACGACCCCCACCGACTCTGGACATCATGATGAGTCCATGTCAAGCTTGAGTTCTGGAGAAGTCATGGCATTCTGCAAAAGAAACTCGATCACCTTGCAAGTCCTTGGTCAAGCCTGTTGGTCAACTGTTCTTGCCACACGAGTCAATGCTCTGGATGTTTCATTCGGTGTTGTCCTGTCTGGGCGCGACACAGAGGAGGCCCAGAATCTCATGTTCCCTACGATGAATACCGTGGCGCTTCGGTGCGTTCTTCACGGCTCGTCTAGGTCATTCTTGCGTTACCTCCAGGACACCATGTCGGACATTTATGAATACCAAACGTTCCCGCTCCGGAAAGCACAGCTTGCTGGCAAACAAACACCTGGAGGCCTTTTCAATACGCTTTTTCTCCTCCAGCGGCACCCAGACCTTGCCGAATACCGCACGAAAAAGGACGGGCTTACCAAGTCGGTCCAAACGTTAGCCACGACTGACTTTGCGGTATGTGTAGAGTTGGAAGCAACAGAGGACCATCTCATTTGGCGCGTTGCTGGCAAAGAAGCGTCCACGTCCGAGCACGACGTCAAGGAACTTCTGGAGCATCTCGACAAGGCAATGAATCACTTTGTGCAGAGACCAGAGAGCAGCCTCCTACAGTTCGAAGGTGACCGCACTTCAATTTGCCACCTTCCAGCTTTCGTATCCAATTCGCATACCACAATGCCAGACAGCGGCAAGGGCAACGGAAACGCGATGAACCCCGAGGACCCCGAATCTCAAGTCGAGTCGACCATTCGTCAGATTCTATCAGAGGTTTCCGGAATACCATACGAGTCTATATCGAGGGACAGCACCGCTTACCACCTTGGCCTCGACTCTATCAGTCTTATCAAGGTATCCTCAATATTAAAGAAGAAGGATATCATGCTCGGCGTGCATGCCCTCCTGACGGCGTCGTCTCTCAGTCACATGGCAAAGGTGGCAGGAAATGCCCCAAAGGCACTTTCCGCAGAGGTGCAAGAGGCCTGTTTGATTCCCGACAAGATTCAACTCGAGCAAGTACAGAGCCTGGCAGGTTTTGCAGAATCCCAGGTCGAAGACATTCTGCCGGCGGTGCCAATGCAAGTTTACATGATGACTGCATGGCAAAACTCCCAAGGCCGTGTTTTTTATCCGGCGTTCCGCTATCGATTGGACGAGTCGGTGTCCTTGAATGCTGTACAAAAAGCGTGGGCAGACCTCACAGCGACGGAGACGCTTCTCCGTACTTGTCTCGTTGCAACAGGCGATTGGGACATGCCGTTCCTGCAAATCGTGCTAGCTCCAAACGTCACAGGACCTCATTCGCAGATCTCGCTTCTCGGCAGTGGCTCGGAAAGAGAAGTGACGGGCGAGTGCTGGCCAAAAGTCAGAATGACCGCGGAACAGCGTACGGACGGCGCGTGGGAGCTGACTCTCAATATACACCATGCGCTCTACGATGGCATCACCCTCCCCGGTATCCTGAACAAACTGAGACAAAATGTCGTCAATAACAGCAAGAAAGATGAACATGAGAACTCTTCGTGTCGGTCATGGAGGTCATTCATTGCCCACCACCTGACTCCTGGCATCATCGATGAACGCAAGGCTTTTTGGACGAAATACCTAGCAGATGACAACAATCCTGCACCTCTACCTCCGCAGACGCATGATTCCGTCGGAGACAGAACTGCCTACCTCCGGCGATCTGCCGTCTCGGGCATGGGCACAAAGAGCACTGCATGCGCCAGCAATGGAGTTGGTCTACCAGCACTCATGTTCGCTGCAATAGCACAGAGCCTGCACGCAAGAAGAGTTCCAAGTAGCGCGCCTGTCATATTTGGCATCTACTACAGCAACCGGGCAGAAGAGGACAATCCGTCAACGGAGCTTTACCCAACGCTGAATCTGCTGCCGTTAAAGGTCATGGTCCAAGAGGAGACGGGGCTCATGGAGTTGGCGCAGAACGTTCAACAAGACCTACACCGTATCACATGCTTGACTAACTCGACCGTGGGGCTGTGGGAGATCAAGGAATGGACAGGCGTTGCAGTCGACGTTTTCGTGAATTTTCTCAACCTGCCCAAAGGGGAAGAAACTGCCAACGTTTTTCATGAGGTCGTGGATGATCGTCTCCTCAATGGAGCCGACAGGCCTACCTCACGGGCCAGTCCGGACCCTCCAAACTTTGACGCCCCTTGGTTGAGCAAAAACCCGGTTCGGGGTGCTTTCCCGGTACGTCTACTTCCAATCATGAATATGTCTAGTGGCTTACTGATAAAAACAGGCTGCGATGGATATCGAGGCTGCTGTGAACGGGGACGTATTGGACCTAGGCATCTTCGGCTCTGCCGCAAGAACGACGATAGAAGAGGCCCAGGCCTTGGTTGATGGCATCGCGGAATGTTTGAGCATGTTCAAAGTGTAGGAGAGTATTGGAATAAATTGTATTTTGCCCACTGCCCAGTGCTATCGTTGTCACCAGGATGTCCACAAGATTGGTGACGCTTCTGTGCTTAGATGTAAGTGTACCTGTTGGAGGAGGTCAAGTATGAACGAAAGGTCTGTATTGGGAAGCTATCCTGCTGGGCAGGAGGGTGCCTGAAACTCATCTATGAAAGGCACCAGGGCACAAGCCACAGGGCACAAGCCACCTGGCACCAGGTGAGTGCCACTGACCAAGTGAATGGCACCACCAACATAATCAAGTGCAGTGCAGATGCTTAAAAGTTGAATTCGAGAGTTCATCGACACGCTTCCTTTTGACTGGCACGATATTCAATTCTCACCTGGAGCCGGCAAAACCGGATTACATCCGATTGTAAAAGGCCAAGAAAACAGGGCTACTAGGTCTTCGCAATGCAGTAATTGGGTGGCTTTCCATGCAAAAGCAAAGAGCGAGACGTGCACTCCCTGCGTCCGCGCCGAGCAAGCACCAAGACCGCAACGTGCTGGAGAAATTTGCGCCGAATCAAAGCCAGAGCTGTTGGCGGTCTTGTCAGGGGCGGAAGTCCGCCTAACATGTTAGAGCATCTCGGTTATCGGCATTGCATGGGGCTTCTATGCTGGCTCCGAGATGAAGTGGCGTCGGCGTAAGCACTTGGAGCGACATGTATGGTCAAACCTCGACAATAAAGGGTGACGAGAGGCAGGTATATGTGCATCGGTCAGATACCTGTTGAACTGGCAGATTTGCTGTGTACCCAGTTTCTGTATCGGATCTTTCTTGCCTACAACTCGACTCAAGCCATCCCTTTCATGTGATTCCGACGAGCAAGACGTTCGACATCATGGCCATCATGTCCTTCAGGCTCTTTACCTCAGCCATATTGCTTGTTGCACCAGTCCTGGCCAAGACAGACCTGGCAGGCTGCACGTATTCCGACTCGGTTGTCACGCCGGCTGGCGGCTCCCCATACGCTACACGGATCTGGTTCGTCGAGGATACCGGCGAGATCTGCGAGTTCCTGGATTGCGGAGGCGGCCGGGCGCCGCCCAAGACGACAGTACCCGGGTGCGGCTCGTATGAGGGCACCGACACTTATAGCCCGCGCTTCCTCGCCCCTAGTACGACATCAATCACGGTCGCAAGCACGTCTGAGGTCATCCCTGAAGCTCCCACTACCGAAGCACCCTCTCTGGAACCGACGCCGACTGGCTCAGCAGAAGCTGATAGCCTTTCTACTTCTCATATTGCATCGACCGAAGAGGCCCTGGCGTCGAACCAGTCATCAGAGCCATCTCAGGTGCTCTCGGGGCCCCAGACATCTACAGCCATTGTTACGACTGCGACAAAGACTTCAGCGTCGGAAACTACCAGCGAAAGCGAAGGAACGGAGGCAAGCAGCCAGGTGTCCGCCACGGAGACGCCCAACGCAGCCAATGCCGGAAACAAGGGAATGATTGGGCTCCTTGCTGGAGCTGCCGTGGGCGCAGTGCTGCTGTAAACGAATGATGTCCGCAAGAACCAAACATCTCGGACCAGAGTCTCGTCGAACCTTGCAGAGATCGGAGTGTCCGCTGCCAGTGTGCCAAGGGTAGCTTTGCCGCTAGATGAAGGACTCGCAATTATTTGTACATGGCAAACACCAATTGTAACAGTAGTAGATTGGCGCCTGTCAAATGTTGTCGCCGCTGGTGAACTGAGATGGGCGGGTGACTTGAACTAGATGTGATGACTCAGCATGCGATAAGATCACGGAAGATCCGAAGAACCGGGCAGCCGAAAAAAATCCTCGCCTGGCTGAGCTGCCCCATAATCGCAATCATCACCAGGCGAAGATACTCCGTCACTGTAAACGCGCTCCGCAACCGACACCACCCACGGCTTCACCATCGCATCACGCTCCTGACGGCTGTTCATCGCCCGTTGTTGCTCAACCCATCTCTCAAAGAAAACAACCCCTCGGCACATCACAGCCATGGATCACACACGCGACCCCTGCCCATGGGTCATCCTCAACGACTTTGGCGGCGCCTTCTGCATGGGAGTATGTCCCCCTTTCTCAAAGACTGCATCTCTACCTGCGATCCTCTGACGCAGGGTTGATGCGCCATCCAAATAGTTGTGTTCGCTGCCGTCGTGAAGCCCCGAGACTGACGTGTTTTCTTCCAGGCTATCGGCGGTACGATATGGCACGGCATCAAGGGCTTCCGAAACTCCCCTTACGGTGAGCGGCGCGTTGGTGCCATCACGGCCATCAAGATGCGCGCTCCCGTTCTCGGTGGCAACTTTGGCGTCTTTGGCGGCCTCTTCTCCACGTTCGATTGCGCCGTGAAGGGCATCCGTCAGAAGGAGGATCCCTGGAACGCCATCATCACCGGCTTCTTCACCGGCGGTGCGCTCGCCATCCGTGGTGGCTACAAGTCGGCGAGGAACGGCGCCATTGGTTGCGCTGTGCTCCTCGGTGTCATCGAGGGTGTCGGTATTGGCTTCCAAAAGCTGATGGCCGGAAGCACCAAGCTCGAGGTATATCCTCTCGTGCTCTTCATCCGCGATTGGCCATGGCTGACTCTTTCCAGATGCCCCAACCTCCTCCCTCCCAGCAGGAAATGTCTCTTGCTTAAACTTGCTTCGAACACATTCACAAACCGAAAGATTTCTTGATTTTCAGCGATTCAGCGTGACGCCGCTGGCTCTGTTATGATACGACGGACCGACCGACGGACCGACCGACGGACCGATCGACCAACCCACTCCTCTCCTCTTCCAGTCTGCCACCCGACCGGGGCTCGACTATTGTGTTCACCAAACCACGAATCATAATCATCACTTGCATACCAGGCGGAGGCGTTCCATGTACAATATGTAGACAGACCTCTACGGGGGCAAAGGGCGGCGGAAAGCGGTTTGCGGGCCATTTATGGGAGGCCCAGCAGATGGCGCTGGCAGAGAAGTGGTGTCAGGCACTCGTCTGCGCTGCGCCGTTGGCCACGAGCCGTGCGGCAGTACTCTTCCAAGCTCTCGAGGTGAGCTTGGGAGCGAATAGAACCACCATTACCACACGCTTTTGCTTGTTGCCTTTGCTATTGACCGAATCGCCACAGTTGTTCATCTCAATAGGTACCTCCTACAGCCGAGTCACCGCGCCAGACCTCCGCATGGCTCCTTCCATCGTCGTCAAGCCATGCCCGAAACATGCCGGCGCAGTTGTAGTCCTGCAGAACCTCTGATCGCGTCTTGAGGACATCGCCCTGCGGCCCGCGCACAACAGTTAACTCGATCCCGATGATGCCGCCCTGCCCCTCGCCCGTGCGACCCCAACGATCACCTGCGCTCTTCTGCAGCTCACCCCTGGGGCCTGCAATAGCCGACAACGCTTTCGCGCTGGACTCCCGCTTCCACTGTGCACGAGACACCACGGAGTGCAACGCGGCAATTCGCAGAAACGAGTCCCCATTGCCGGTTCCAGACCCAGCGAAAGATCGAGTAACCGTCGTCGAGCCGCCGCTTCGAGTCGGAAGTGGCGTGTACATCAAAGGATGGGGGAGGCAGTCAGCCAACAGTCGCCGAAGCCCGTCACTGATGCCAACGCTGGATCCAAGACTACCGAGAACGCCCCGCACGCCCGAGTCTGACGCGGTCGATCCGCGGCCATCGTCCCCGTCATCTTCCCACTCGCCAGCCCAGAATCCAGCCCCCACGGTCGGCGTGTCCCCGATCCTGCCGGACAGCTTATTTGTGAGTCCGCCGGTGCTGGTCGCCACGCAAACGACCCCCTCTTCATCCAGCGCAACGGCACCGCACGTCCCCTGCGGTAGAAATGCCTTGTCGCTCCACGTCGCCACCACGGCGCCCTCGCGGTCCTCGCGCCGCAGCGCCTCAATGTGCTCGTCCCACCGCCTCTGCGTGAAAAAGTAGGCTGGCGCCACCGTCTCGAGTCCGTACCGCGCCGCCAGCGTCGCCGTCAGCTCGTCGCCGTGCAGGTGTCCGTGGCCCTGGGCAGAGGGCACGTCGGGGTGCCCGGCGGCGACCTCGAGGTCGTCCTCGCCGTTCTCGAGCACGGCGCGCGCCAGGAGGATGGGGTTGCGCACGCGGCGCACGCCCGACACGCCGACGGCGCGCTTCTTGTGTCCGCGCGAGACCATGACTGAGGCCTCCAGCTCGTTGGTGCCGTCGCGCGTGAAGACAGCACCGTGGCCGCTGTTGTAGAGTGGGTCGTTCTCCAGGAGGCTAACGGCGTGAGTCGCCGTCTGGAGAGCGCTGGGGAGCCGGCCCGTGGAGAGCCGGGTCGTCATGTAGGCGTTTGTTTTTGCGAGCTGTAGGTTTCGTCAAACAGGGAATTTATCACAGGGAGTCATATGGGAACTGACGATGGTGAGAAGTGATCTCCGGTAAGCCTCCCAGTCCTTCGGTGGGAGATAGGCGTGTGTAATGTTCCCCGCGCCACCGTGGATGATGAGCCGCGGCTTGACCTTCAGGGTCTCAGACGGCTGCAACTTGTATTCCATGACGACGGCAGGTCCTAAAATATGTTTAGTCTCTATTTGGAGAAATGGTGAAATGCCTTTGTCGTGTTGTGCCTCGACGAGGCTTTGAAGACTACCTCCTCTGTCGTCCGACAGTGTTGATGGTGTGCCTGAGATAAGATAAGATGCGACCTCCAAGAATGGTCAAGATCGACGTCTCTCCCTGTTTGCCTTCTCAACAGCCAGCCCGGCACTCGGGAGCAAGTAACAAGATAGATAACCCGGGTATCAAATATTGATCTATCATATCCTGAGTTGAATATCCAGCCCTATTCATTGCCCCTAACGCCATGTTTTACAATCATGCTTTTTTCTTTGCCTCTTTTTGCCAAGCTACAGCCTGGCAAATACCATTCCGAAAATCTCCCGGCTTTTCAGCAGATTCAATACTCGCAGCCGCTCATTGTCAAGATGCGCCGAATCGGTCGCCTGTCCGCATGGCAAATGTGCCGCTGGTGC